GTAGTATAGACTAAATACATATGGGTATTCCATCTATGATAGTAATGTGCGGTTAATTTATTTACGTCTATTGTAGACGATAACGTCAAGAGATATCTAATAGGATTTATTTAACTATTACTAATTTAATAATATAATTTATTTACAAGGATACCTGTGTAACATGGGCCACTACTACTACTAAGTTGTTTATCGTAGTAATGGCATTAAGTTTATAATTTAAGTAAATCCATTGCTTGTAGTATTCTGTGTAATTGTCAAGATAGCGATAAGGCCTATCGATAATTAAGTCAGTGTGTGCTTGACCCTCCGTCGAGCTGGGCCGGAGCGTTGGGTGGTCGGTTGTTTTGTCTGTTTAATCGAATGATGTTTTAATTGTCGTATTAATAAATTATAATTATATTTACGAAGGTACTTTTCATGTGTAGTTATATTTTTTTTTTGTTTTTTTTTTATTAATATTTTACACTAAATGCTACTGTTTCAACTAATCGCTATTAAAAAAAAACCAGCAATGTCCCGGAACAGTGGGTATAATTAGGTCCAGTATAGATGATATGTACCAATGATTAAAATCATTATAAAAAACTCCTTGATGCAAATTTGTAGATAGTGTTTAATTTTAAAATATTAATGGATTGTTACAAAAGCTACGTGATCTCCTATTTCCTTATTTATATCCTAATTACAAGTTATATGCATTACTACTGCAAAGTATGTAATCGACGGAGGATTTCTCTTCTATAAAGTTATTTGACAAATGTATCAAACGAAATTTTTTTCCATTTTCTTATTCATTTTCCTATTCTAAATATTGATAGAATATATCTTCAACAAAAGTACAATCTTCTTAGTCTTCAATATTTATTTCTATTGATTTTGTACGCCATTGGCCTTTGCAATGTTCACATATAATAGAACATTGAAGCTCTGCTTTTCGGCAGTCACAATTTTTACCAGCTCCAGCACCTGACCAAAGGCCAATACGCTTTATGACAATTATCTTTATCATTACTAGAAATTTTGGTGGCAATTGACATAATATAATTTTTGTTTGGTAATGTACAATTTAGTGTTTGCTTGGGTTTAAACAATATAGCGTCAAATCAATTACCTACTCTATCGGTGTATCTTAATATACACTACACTTAAATGATACTATAAATAAATAAACTCATACATATGCATTTATAACACTGTCTAATGTAAGTATAACATGATAAAAAGTAACCGTAAAATGGAAAAAATGGAAAATAAATTTTAGACTCCTATTAAATGTAATGTAACTCGAAAAATATTTGTTTAAATGAAAAAATAAAAGATATCTTTTTTGTTTAAAATTATCTTTAAACAATTTTTGTATGAAATTTTTTTTTGTAAGTTAAATATTTGTTGAGAAAATTAAAAAAGCTCATATTTTTTAACTTTTGCAAGGCTGTAAAAAAAAGCTCAATTCCAATCGATGAGGACTTTTAGTATGTCATTATACATATCTTAATTCAACTTTAAAAAAAAAAAATATTATTTGGGAATTTTTTCCGCCATTGGCCAAAATTGCTCCTTTGTTGACTGGCCTAAATTCGATAACAAAATACCTCATAATTTTAAAACGCTGTAACCTTTGAATCACTTGTTTTCGCTCAAAATTATTTATTTACAATATGATACTATCTAATTAAAAAAGGGTGTCCAGTAAACTAAACTTGTGCCATTTTTTTAAATAGATTATTAAATGTCGTATCCATCGGTAATTATTATATTAACCATTTATAGGTAATTCCAAATTGGTATTTAGAGGAGATTGGACAGTGATACAAACACAGCACAGCAATAACATGTACTTTGGTAGTTATTATATAATGTAATTGCGGATCCTAGAATATTTGGCTACTTTATCAGTAGCGGACGGTACGTGTTTAAGGCCATTCTATTTTTAAACTAAAAATGTGGGTTCCAGTTCAAGAAAATTTAAGTTTAGGTTATTTTCACTGGAGGTATGAATAAAAATAAAATTCTAAATACAAAAAAAAATTATGTTTTTAAAAATTAGTTCGAAATTATTCGTTTTCAACATTTAATTTGTTCAATAAGTAGTATGTAACATCCATTTTACGATTTCCTGTTACTTAATGCCATTACTATGATAAATAACTTAGTAGTAGTAGTGGCCCATGTTACACAGGTATTCTTATAAATATATTATATTATTAAATTAGTAATAGTTAAATAAATCCTATTAGATATCTCTTGACGTTATCGTCTACAATAGACGTAAATAAATTAACCGCACATTACTATCATAGATGGGATACCCATATGTATTTAGTCTATACTACTATAAATATAATTTTTTTGATAATTTAAGAGAAGTCGCATAATCTAACAATATAATAAATGTCAAATGCATAGAGAAAGGGCTTCGTCTTCAAAAATTTTTGAAAATGTTTTATTTCAAAAAAATTACACATACCCAATTAAAAAAAAATTTAACTTAACTTTTATCATAATGCCTTAAAAAAAAAATAATAATTTATTAAAATTTTAACTATGAATTCGTTAACTTAAAAAATTAATTTAATTTTGACAAGTCAAAAAATCATTAACTTGACCAACCTTGCTTCTTTAAATGGAAAAGCAAAATTTTAATAATAATAATAATTCTAATTGTTTGATTTGCTTGTAAAATAATTAAATTTAAAAGATATAATGCATATAATCAACTTATATAAAACAAATTATTTTACATATGATGTACATGTATTATACGTTTGATGTCTACTAATTAGAGAAATATAAAATTTTTATATGGTTTATTTTTTCGTTCAATTTTTTTTTTAATATTTATATAAATACTGAACATAAAAATGTCGAACTTGCCTGTTTCATCATTACATCAGCAGCCATCACAATAATAAAGAACCTGTAAAAATACTCTATCAACGAACCATAAATAAAAATCCATGTTCTAGACTTATGTTTCGTCAATCCAAAAACGGCATCATATATTCCGAGTAATGACAAAATACCCAACAAACAAATTGACATACATAACTGCTCACCATATAAAACGGACAAATTATAAACAGCATCACACATAATCCGATGTCTAATTCTTATAATTTCAACGACATTTGCCAATTGACCACGGGCTTCTGGATGACTAAAGAAGTCATTGCAAATTATGCTCTTAAACCATAGAGGATTCAAGTATATTTGAAATTTTTCGACGTCGTCAGTTAATAAACAATAAAATTTTGACAATTCTTCTTTCATTCGATCAAGATCCTTATTTATTTTATTAAACTTCAAGTACACTTTCCAGCATTTGCTTACAAAGTATAGTTCAATGAGAGAAATTGTTAAATTTTCCATATATGTGCCCGTTATGTAAAGTATAGTAGCATAAGAATAATTATTTTTATAAGAAAGATAGATGTGAAAAAAATTCATGAACGAAATAAGAGAAAGTAAAGGAAAAGATACGACCCACATGAACTTCAAATAACTTTGATACTCAGATTGAGTCAATAAGGAATACATTTCGTATGCTTGCAAGTTTTTATTGTACTCTGTCATAGTAGTATCAAACTTTTTGAATATAACCCAGCATGATATAAAACAAAAAAAAGCTACAGATTTAGGATACATTCCATTAAAAACATAAAAAATTGCAACACATTTATTGTCGTTTAAACTGCAAAATGACCGCGGTGTCAAGACAAAATTACAAATACAGCATAACATAAGAGCTACCATTACAAATAATCGAAGATGACGACTTAAGCTATTAAACATAGTAGTAATTACATGTAAACCTTGAATACAACTGCTCTTCAGAACTGTAACAATACTTATGTTACTTGAAATATTAATGAGTATAAGTCAGTTCAAATAGGTTTTAATATTTTACTAGCTGACTGGCAGGGTTCTAGTACTTGGTCATTAAATTAGAATAATATTATTGTTACATAATGTATTTAAAATAGGCATATTCTGCAGGGAAGGGTGAGCGGTATATGTTTATGCATGTCTATGGAAAATTTATTAGACATTTTTATTTTTCGAGACCAAAGATATGAGATATTTTATTAAATAATTAGTCAATAGGTAATACTATTTTATTATCCATTTAAAATCATAAAAATAATTATGTTTTTGTACCATAACGTATAAAAAAACCTTTGTATAAGGTTAGTTGTTACAATATATTTGTAACTTATAAAAAAAAAAATTATTTTTTAGTAAATTGAATAAAATTTTCATTATTTATTTCATTTAGTCTGGACAATTATTGAATCGGATGGACAATATCTAAAAACAAATAAAAATAATGCTGCACTTAAGATATTTTTTGAGAAGTATAATAAAATTACATATAATAACATTTCATTTTTTTCTATTTATAAAGTTGATATAAATATACAATTAAACATAAATTTTATTTTTTGAGAGTAATCATGATGATTTTTAGGTAACGATATATTAAAGAACTCTTGCACTATTGCATGGTAAAAGTATTATATATTTATACAATATCATTAACTCAATAAGGATGTTGTTTGATAAGTTATCACCTTAACTCGTTTATAATAAAAATACTAGTAATATATATAAATTACACATAGTAAACATCAATACTACAGTAGAATTCTTGTTAGCTTGAAAAAGTTCAGAAAAGTTAATTTTTCAACTTTAAAAACAATTCATTTACTGGTGGTGGGTGAGGTTTACCCCCTCAACCTACCAGATCAAAATCCATGGCAATTCTAATGCATAATTGGAAGGTGTGTAAAAAATAAATAATTTAGTTAACAATTTAAAAAATTTTATTCTAAAAGTCAATTAATGATCAAACAAAAAATAATCCATTAAAAAAAGTATTTTTCAAAATATTAAAATTATATACATATTTAATCATTTATTCTTTAGCTNTTCTTCAAAATATTAAAATTATATACAGATTTAATCATTTATTCTTTAGCCAGTGCTAATAATAAAACTTAACGTAGATTTGATGAGCTACATTGTGATTGTAATGCACAGATTTCATCTTTGAATGTATTTATTGTATCCCTCAGTTGTTTTAAACGCTCTTTATACAAAACTGTATGCCTTTGAACTTTTTTTCGTGCTTCTATAATTTTATTTAGTATTGTCTTTTTTGTTTCTTCATCTAGAGAAAAATAACATAAAATAAATTTTAAATAAATAAAATTACACTGATACTTCCAAAATTCAAAACATACAATGTAAATTTTGTTCTGCTATTGGCAATTTTTTATTTATAGTATCATTTAAAACATATTTCATATAAGTTGATGGGTCTTGAAATATAATTTCTTCATAAAACTCCGATAAAACTGGTTTTTCACTTAATTCAGAATCTGGACCATTACTATACAACTTAAGGATATGGTATAATGTCACCTGAAATAGTTCATAAATAAGATTTTATTACTAATACTAGTTTAAAAATTGTTGATATTTTATTTTTCTAACTAGGATTTAAAATGAAAAAAATACTTGGGACTGTATTCATAATATTATTTTTAGTGTTCCATGTAAATAAAATTTTACTTTTCACTTATAATGAACCACTTAATTGAAAAATGTTAAAATTAATTAAAATATTTAAAAAAATTGTTGATATTATATTAATTTTTTGATTAATTAAGTGGTTCATAATAAGTGAATATCTGTATAAAAGTATATTAAAGATATAACATGTCATTTTGCTACAATACAACAAACTACTGTGATAATATAAATGTCAGATCTCGACAAATAATTTGAAATTATTAAATCATAAGATAACTATTTAAAATATTTAGGTTGGATTAAGAAGGTTTTATTTTAATAAATAAATACACTTTAAATATAGTTCAAATGAAAATGAATTTATATCCTAAAGGAGAATAAAATTAATTTCATGATTTTGTTTGCTCTCCTATAATAAAACATTAGAGCTTCCATATATACAAGGTGTTCAGTAAGTAAGGAAACAGGTAAATTATTATAAACAATGAGGATAATAGATACTATTTTCCTTACTTACTGAACAACCTATATAAATCTGGCTATGAATGTATGAGGTTCATTCTTAAAAAATTATTAAAGTTATAAATTAAATATAAATATTTTTACTGTATACCGGTCTTTCACTTGTATCTTGAAAAAATATTTTAATAACAAGTTCAAATTCACCCCAACCAGTCTCAGAAACTTCAAATGGAGGTTTTTGTACTACTCTAGTAGGACTTTCGTAACTGTCATGCAACTTAAAATGTACTTTTTTAACCCAACTGCTAATATCTTCATTGACATAAGGTCTAACATAGACAGACCATTTATGAGTATGGCCATCTTCTCTTTTCTGACCAAAATATTTTGCTGTATTCCCATATATAATTGACTTAACAATGGACGTTCCCTAAAAAAAAATCAATAGAAAAACAATGCAAACATATACATTTAGAAATCATTTTAATATAATTAGAAAACTTTTAAGTGAATTATTCATGAAGATTCAGTTAATCACATTTATTCATCTAACATTCATAAAAATAATTAAAATAAGATACAAATGTGTTAAATGTATACATTACTCTTAAGTATAATTCTTAAAGCTAAATTGAATCATTTATCAAAAAGTCTCATTAAATATAATAATTTATAAAAAGAGAGATTTATTTTTCATCATTATTTAAATTATATTAATTTAAAATCTAAGAAAGATTTTTGGTACAAACCTTCACTCTTGTCAAATCATTAGATGTAGTCATTTTTTATAAATAAAAATTCAGTGCAGTAAAATTAATTCTCATTAATTACAAATTTTACTCACACATATTAATAAAATAGTAAAATTAACATATAAAAAGGGTAAAATTAACCAAATATTTTAAAATTATTATTTCAATTTAAATAATTGAATAGTAGTTAATTGATAACAGATATGATTGGCGTGAATCAGTGTTGCCAAAAAATAAAAATAAAATTTTCGTAAAATAATTTTAATATTTTCGTATTGTTCGTAGGTCAATTAATTGACGCCATTAGCGTCTAATTTTTGGGTATCTTTTTATAATTTTCTTTTAATATGGCTTTATGGAAAATGTTTTTCTTTCTGTTTGAACCTTTAAAAATAGTTTTTTTCCTATTTAAACTAAACATAAAGAGTCAGGTTTTTCTGAAAACTAAACACTTGTTTATCCACAAGGTTCATTCTCAGAATCTGAATTTTAAAAATAATAAATTAAATTTAAGTGATATTTAAAATCACTATTATTAAGCTTTCGATTTGAAGATTTTTTAACTAAAAACGGTCCATTTTTAATAATTGAAATCCTTAAAAATAAATTAATCTTATGAATAAATAAATGAATATCAATGATTAAACCACTCTATGTGTTAAATCGTAGATTATTTACAATTTACATGTTAAATGATTATGATTTAAAGGTAAAACCGATGTTATATAAAAATCTTATCTAGTCAATGATGACGCCGTTATTTTGTGTGAAATCACAAATAAAAAAGTATAGACACATACTATAAGAAAATATTGTCTGTGTGAAAAATATATTTCATATAATCTGTAGTATAAGGAGAAGTTTTGTATGATGTTCATAAATTTGGAGAAGGCGTATAACAAAATGCCAAAAAAAGTTTTTATTACCACTTTAAAGTAGACTTTAATCAGAAAAAGAGACCAAAACACGTGTACTGATGTAATAGAGAATATGTATGAAATAGAATAAAGTCATAATAATGAGTGTATGATGTACTTGTACTAGAGTATAAAATGTATGTGAAGAATCAGACGATTTCAAAATAAGATTAGGTGTGCATCAAGTTTTTGCTTTAAGCCCTTATTTATATTCTATAATGACGAATGAAATTACTAAAGATATACAATAAGAGGACCTTAAGTGCATGTTGTTTGCTGATAATACAGTGTTAATAGAAGAAAATGGGGAGGAAGTTAACCAAACGCTAGCAATGCGGAGATTAGCCCTTGAAGAAAAGGGATTAGGAATTAGTTGAAAAAATAAAGAATACATAGATTATGAGTTTGATGAAAGAGAACACGAGAGTAATGAAACGAGGAAAATAATGACAATAAACAAGGACGTGATAGGTGATAGGTGATAGAAATAGAAGATTTTAAATATCATTTGTTCAAAAAAAAGTGGTTTGACAAAGATGCAAAATATAGGCTCAAGTGTGGGGGGTTAAGTAGTGAGAAGAGTATGGTGTTTTGTGCGATAGGAAAATCCCAATAAGACTAAAAGGTAAATTCTATAAGACAACAGTTAGACTAATTACGTTGTATGGGTTAGAGTGTTGAGCGTTTGACAAAAAAGTTAAGATGAAAATGCTTAGATGGATGAGTGGAGTAACAAAAGAAGATAGGTTAATGAATGATTATGTTAAAGGAAACTCATATTTAGCTGGTCATATTCTTCAGCAGTAAACACTTACATGTTTAACACTAATGAGAGTAACATTGTCCCCGAAATACGCATACTACACGAATCTTTAGTAATATTTGTAGCTTTTCAAGATAAGTATTTTTAAAAATTATTAGTTTTAAATTAATATTTTCAATTTTATAATTTTATTTTGATGAATCCAGAGTAAATTTTAAGAACATCGATATCGACTATAAAGAATCCCTCAAAAATATTATTAGTAAAATCCTAGTATAATATGAAAATATTTTAAAAAGTATATACAATGGTTATAAATGATAATAGACGTAGTTCTCATTAGAGAGCACCTTATAAGTGCGTATCGTAAACGACGTAAATTATTGAGATAATAAAAAAAATAACAATTTGAAATTTAATATACACATAAGTATAATAAAACGAGAATACAATATAACGCCTAACAAACACGTCTATTATGGTGAGAAATTAAAATAAAACCAATACAAGCAACCACAAAAGAAAAATAAGGTAAATGCGAACAATTACATGCTTACTCCTTAAAACTTTACGCGATAAACTAGGTATAAAAAGAAGGTAAATTAGGGATGTTTTTGTTCAGCCGTTTAACTCGAAATAAAAGTTCTACACATATTAAACCCCCAAATGCTCAGCAAATCCCTATATAACCACTTTTTATTAAGTCTAGTCCATTACCAAACTTATTTATAACATCATTTATTTATTTCTCTTTAATTTTAAACATAAACCACGTTATAGCTATTGAGTGATGTTAAGAGAATTTCGATTTCTAGTTTTAGTATTGGACTTGTAACAGTATAAATAGTTGGCAATTATAACTTCTCACTATTTATGTTGATAATCGAAAATTACTTTACAATTTATAACTTTAATTTACACTCAAAAGCCATGACGTGTTTTTATATACTTATTACTTGAAAAACACTAACACTCTTCGCGTAATCGAATAAAAAAAAACTCTACTCTTTAAAATAATTTATTTCTGATAAGGAAGAAAAACGTATTTATTTTTTCCCTTATTTTTTTTAACTCATAGTTTGAAAATAGATAATCTCAAACAAATACTTAGATTCTAAATAAAATGTTATGTATATCCCCCGCCATGAAAAAATCCTGAGTACGTTGCTGTGGGTTAAGACATGTTTGGGAATTGGAGGTCATAGGGAAGGATATAGCCTAAAAATACTAATATGAAGGCAAATAAAGTATTATAGTAAAATATTCCATAGAAGAGTGTTTAAACAATACATTTTCTAATTTAAGTCTTTATTGATTTAGAAATATTTAATGTTGTTAATAAAGCAATGCATCCAAATTAGCAAAGATGTTTTAGTAGCGTATGATAAATTTGAGAATCCAGCAACTTAATGAAGTCCAAAGGGTTTCTCTTATATGAGTAAGACNTAAATTTGAGAAGCCAGCAACTTTATGAAGTCCAAAGAGTTTCTCTTATATGAGTAAGATTTGCCTTTTTTGATAAAATATTGATACTTATTCATATTTCTAGAGACAGGTGCGCTCTTTATGAAGTTGGTGTCGCTTTTCTCTCTTATTTTTTCTTCCATCTTTCTCTGTTATCATATTTTTGACGGTGAATGTATTCTACCAGGAAAGATAAGTGTGGCACGCTCAAATTTTGTAATATTTTTGCATAAATACATAAATATTTATAGTGTTTTTTTAGTATATACTTTCATTCGATTATTTTTTTAATATCGTACAAATTATACATGATTAAAACGCGCTATGGAATCATGGGGTGCTGACTGATGTGTAGATGATGGTGTGGAGTTTGTAGTGGAAGAAGGAAGAAACACACGTTATCGTTTGTGCGAGCTACAGTTACTATAACCACTGTTGTGGGCCACCAGCGTGTGTTTTTAATTTTCATCAACTGACTGTCGCAACGACGTTAATAACACGAAAAATTGGTTTTTATCACTTTTTAAACGTCCTTGAACACTTATATTCTATTATTCAGTCATTCGACTTGATTCTGTTCATTAATTGTTTTCTATCTCCAATTAACCTCTTTATCTTAAATTCTGGTGGGATACGTACGACTGAATTACTTTGTAAAAACGTACTACTCGAATAATCATATAACGGCAGATATAGACTGTCAAAAATGGGACGGGTGATTACCAACAACATGCTTTTTCATGTATGTATTGATGAAACGTGAAAGTGTTTTCATGATAGCTACTGGACAAGCTGCGGTAGTCCGACATCGAAATGGCTCAGCAGCAGCAGCAGGTTCAGACTAAGTTATTTACTTACTCAGTGATTGAGCGAAAGGACGAAATTGAAGAGGTGTGTTAAAATCAATTCTGGAAAAAAATAAAACTATATAATCTAACCCTTTTTCAGAAATATGAACGATGTTATGTTTCACTTCAAAGCATCACTAACAATCTTAATGATCGAGAATATCATGATGCACTTACAAATCACATTAGTAAAGACAAAAGTCAAGAAGAAATTGTTAGTCTTGGGCTGCTGACTGCTATATTATTAGAACCCAAAAATGCCGACAAGGTATGATATAATCAAGATGTTATAGAAGTGTTTAATATTTTTGACAAGCTACCTAATTTTTAAAAACTATATGGTATGCATGTATTGTTACATCCATGTAAACAACAAGTAACTTCATTTTTAAATATCATTTTTTATGATATCAAAATATTTTGAATAATTTATGTTAATTTAAACTATTTGATTTTGAAATTTTATTTGAGATACTTAAATTTATTAATATTTACTAATCTACTTTATATGAGTAGGTTAATGTAATATGATAAATTTTAAAATAAAACAATATTTTGAATAAGTGTAATATTAATGATCGAGCATTTTTGTAATTACAGATTTATAGAGATCTTACATTATTATCACGTGATGGTCTTCAAAGTGTTATTGCTCATTTGCAACAATTTACATTAGAAAAATGGAGTCGACTTCTTGATAATCCAAGAAAACAACTTCTCTGGTTAGTTCGTGAAATGGTGCGTAATAATATAGCTGGAGTTGATAATTTATGTTGGAATTTAATGAGAAATGCTGCAGGTGGTGATGTGTCTCCATCTAATGTAGCACTTATAGAATATTTCTTAGATCTATACCAAGACCATCGGTAAATAATAAAATTGAACCAGTTTGTTTTAAAAATTATATTTTTTGAAAATTTACTTTCAGAAAATGGTTAGAAAGATTTCCATGGTTAATAGCGTCGGTTGTTTATTCTTTTTTACGTTTCATTGAAGATCACAGTAACCTGATCCCCTTACGAAATAAAGAAGTAGCTTTTACAATATCTCTTTTAAGAGATCGGTTTACTGACTGTTTAGTTATTGGTCGTGATTTAGTGAGACTCCTGCAAAACGTCTCAAAAATACCTGAATTTGAGGCATTATGGAAAGATTTATTATATAATCCTCATTCCTTAAGTACT